GTGAAATCGGGGCTCTCCGTGCAGCCGCCGCTGCTGCTGCCTCCCCACGCCCGAGACGGCAAGCCCGAGTCAAGGTTGGTGTTTGTGTAACCCGGGGGCCAGGCCTGCCCGAGCCGCAGTGTTTGGGCAAGGCTGACCATCTTTCAGAGTCCCCGAGGCTCCCGCAGCCGTGCAAGGCAGGCTCTACTGGGGGGAGATGCCCCCAGCCCCAGGACCAACTGCCGCTGGCAGGTACAGCTTCTTGGCTGTCTTGTGGAGGAGTGAGTGGCATTTGTGCCCGCCCTCCTTGTGACATCCTGGGTCACCCACTTTGGGGCTGATTCACTTATGACAAAGTGGTCACTTTCTGGGAGTGAGAGGACGTCTTTTTGGCTCATTCTCACGATTTGGTGTCTGTCCACAGCCCTGGGGGGCAGGGTCTGGTGCTGACGGTCTGTCCTTCTGCAGCTGTCCTTTGTCCCCTACTTCTTGGCCTCAGTATCCTCACCATACTCCTGTGGCTCTCTAGGACAGGTGTACCTCTCCTGGGAGCCCTGCCTCACATCCTCACCTGTGAGGCTGCAGCCTTGGGCTCCGGCCCACCTGAGCTGGCTGTGTACCCTTGAGCCTGTTGCTTACCTTCTCTGGGCCCTGCCTTTTTTCTGTAATTGGAGTAGTCCCCCCAGTTGAGATGGATGGGAAGTTTTGACTCCTAAGTTGTCCTACACTATGCCCCTGGAGGCTTTTCAGAGGGCCCAGCGATCCATCCCTTCCACGACTGGGAGAGGGTTTCTGGGTGGGTTGGGAAGGAGGTGCTCTCTACTCAGCATCTCAGAGGAAGCCCCTACTCCATGGAGAATTGCAGCAGGTGGCCTGGCACTGATGCCCAAATTGGGTGTCCCTGGGAGAAAAAGAGCTCCCTCCACCCCCAACAAAGGGTACGGATCTGGCTCTTCCCATCCCCAGTCCTGCTCCGACTGATTTCTCTCTTTTGGTTCTTGGAAGGCATAGAACTGAGATCCCAGGGTTCTGGGGGTTTGCAGAATTTTGGCTCAAACTGTTGTATTCTCTTCCTTCCCTCTGCCACTCTGCTTGGTTTGAGCCTATCACTTCCTCCTGAATAGTCCCCTGAGGGTGGCAGGGCTTGGTTTTCCTGGGGGCCCTTCTAAGTCTGCCCAGGTCCTCCTGCGGCCAAGCCCCTGGCCTGGGCACAGGCCTCTGCACTCCCCTGTGCCCTGACCCAGGTTCACCCCTGCTGTGGGGCTTCCCCAGGTTGCCTCTGAGCCCTGGTGGACTGCCACTGAGGCTGGTCCCAGCTCTTTCATTGAGGCTGCCCCAGGGCCCAGACGTGTGTCTGCAGCAGGCACCTGTTTCAGCTCAGTGTCGCTTCTCTGCTCAATGTCTACCTCTTGCAGCTCCCATGCAGCCCACGGCAGCTGCTGGTGGGGGTGGCTGGCACCACCATTGTAAATTGCCTAGGAAATCCTGGGCACCCTGCTGGGGCTGGAGGGGTCTGGGCTCCAGCTCCCACCCCAGCTCTGTCCACTAGAAACGTCTCCTTCAGCTTGCCAGCTCCCGCCACCTTCGCCTCACCCATCTGCCAGCTCTTCTGCTCCACGGTCAGCACTTCATCCCCATCCAAGCCCAGTGCTTCGGGCGAGTCTGCCGGGGCGGGAGGTGTGAGCCTCCACTTCTTCTCTGGCCCTGACTCCCGGCGATTTCTCACTGCCTGTCCCCTGGAACATGCGTCACTCTTTGGCTTTCTCTTGGCACCAGCTCTTATGGCGTAGCCACCTCAATCCTAATCTTTCCCACCCCTTTCCCCAAAGTACCATGATTTCGACTTGGGCAGACTCAGTGTGATTCTCTGACACTCCATCATCTCCTTTTAGCCGAAGTCACTGAGGTTTTACTTCCAAATGATAAAATAATTAGCATGAGATTCTTTCCCCCCAGGTTAGATTCCCCTTCCCTTTCTGAGAACTCCAGGCTTGTGTGTTTGGGGGTGGGGAGGAAGAGTGCACAAGTGTGAGCTGGGATCTCCAGGAAATCTGGAGTCCGTGACCAGGGTTCTATGACTCTAGGGATCAGAGCTGAGACACAGGATCCAGCAGGAGGGTCGCCACCCCTTCCCTTGCTGGAGCCCCCAGACTGGGGTTTTGATGACTCCCACGTGAGATGTTGACGGTGTACAGGGAGATATTGTGAACACAACACCCTCAGAGCTGTAGTTGGCGTGTGTGAATGTGTACTTGCTGTTCTGTTCAGTGAAGAGATGATTTCTGTTTCCAGTACTGCTTTCTCGGCAACTACGTACCCCATATGCACTTTCTATACTAGTGGTGTGTTCAATCTTGTCTGTCCAGTTAAGTTGGAGACACAGAGAACCAAGTCCCATTCCTTGGAGGGGGTGCTTCTACCTCTCCTTCAGTAATTCTGTGATCCCAATCCAGCTGTCTTCTAGAGAATTCTTCTAGCTCCTGGTGTGCCTGCTCACCAGCAGCTGGAAGACAGATCTTCCTGCCTGACCAAAGCTGCTTGTTCCGTGGCATGTTTGTTTTTCCCCATGTGGTGGCTGTCCTGGCTGAGGGCCTGCCTGCTGCCTTCCCCTATCCCTTGCCCTGTTGGGGGTTCAGGGTGCATTCTTTGCTATGGCCTGCTCTTTCAGCATTATGATCCCCCCCCCAAGATCTTGACTCCTCCCTTAATCACCATGGAATATTAAAACAAAACAAAACAGAACAAAAACAAAGTGGACTCCTTTTGTGCATTTGGAGGATCAGCCTTCTTGTCAGGGTGCTGGGCTACAGCAAATGTGTCTGGACCCCAGTATTTTTGAGATACTGGGGGTAGCTTTTTGAAAGAGGGGAGGCTGGATCTTAGTGGTTTTTAAACTGTACTTGAACACTTTGGAGCCCATACTTGTGCCCTGGGAGTGTCCTGCAGACAAACCTGGCATCGATCTTTAATCTTTAAAAGAAGGCTGGACCCCACCTCAGGCAGGTGGTTCTGGGTCCAAAGTTGGTGCCAGTTTTGCATTCACACCCCCCACAACCAGCTCAGGTGCAGCCCTGCCCGGGAGGGGTGCCCTGACTGTGAAGGAGCCTCGCAGTTGACCCCGCCTTAAACAACCAACCAACTTTCTGGCCGAATCCCCGGGGGTTTGAGTGCCAAGTGCTCTGGAAACCTATTCTCTTTGGCTCAGCCCAAAAACAACAACAACAACAAAAACCACCACACACACACACACACACACATACACACACACACACAAAACCACCCCTCCTTCCTTCCCTAAGGGTTTTGGGGAATTTTCTTAAACATCTAAATTAGGGTTAAGTCCAAGCTTCAAGGCACAGCCGAGTTCTGCTGTCCTTGCTGAGAAACCAATAGGATGGTTGGGAGGAAAATCAGAGTTTGACCTCACCCTCTTTGGGACAGAGGAGAGGCAGGTGACACCAAGGAGGGGCAGGCCAGAGGAGGGCGGTTCACCCAAGGGACCCCCCCACTCGCGGATCCCCACTGTCCTTTTCTATTTGTTTCTGTGGGTGGTGCCAGCCAGTCTGACCTTGCCGAGGGTCAGACTGTTACCAAGTGTGTAACTTTCAGTATTGTCTGTGATGGGTGGTTCTGTGGTGGACATGGTTTATTAGCTGCCTTGTACAAAATCCGTTAGAAAAGAAAATGTAAAATACCAGATTTCTAACAAGACAAAAGCAGCATTATGGAGTTAAAAGATTTTTACAATTGGTCTTGATTTTGATGTGAGCTGGTTTTTAACTCTCAAATGTTGTCACTTAAATAAAAACCTTATTTGCCTTTAAAATGTGCTTTGCTTTGGACTAACTTGAGAAAGCCTTCCTTTGACTCCTGTTTTCCCTGAGCTGGGATTTGGGGGACAAGCAGCCTGAGAGCAGAGAAGACAGGGGAGACAAAATTATCACACCCCAAACTTAGGATGCACAGCAATGTCAGGGTGGGCTGTGGGGGGGATGTGAAAGGGAACAAATGTTAAATGTGGAAAGAGTTTATTATTAAAAAGCGATGTGATCTAGGAAACTTACACACTGGTTTCTTTCTAATAAAAATGACAAAGCAGATTTCTTAAGTAATTTACAAAGGACAGAAACTTCTCTTGAAGAGGGCTCCTCCCTGTAAGTCCACAGTGCCCCCATGCTGAGCTCATTATAAATAGGCCCAGGGTCCCACAGCCTGGAAACATCTCCTCTCTCTTCCTCTGGGGTCCTGAAGGTGGTGGTGGTGAATCAGGGATGAAATTGTGTCCCCAAGAACCTCTGCATTAGAAATACAGGAGGTGAGTCCACACATTACACTCCAAGGACCCTGCTCCTGGCTGCATGGTTCAGAACTCTCCAGCATGTTCTAATGTCTTCCCATTATGGATAAGGCCCCCACACGGTGTGGGATTAGTTCCTAAGTACAACAGTCCCTAGGGAGAGGGTAGGAGCAATTCCAAGATTTCTCCAAATCACTTAGGCGGTGGCAGGTGGTCACTGATGGGCCTGGATGTGGCTGAAGCAGAAGAGACCTGGGCCCTTGTTGGTCAGGTCCTTGTCAGCAGCAGCTCAGGGTTGCTGATGACTCGGGGGGCTTCTTCCAGGAAGTTCATGGCACAGACATCCTGGTGTGAGGGCTCTGGTGGCCAGACAGGGCTCATTTCCTGCAAGACAGAGCTCCCTTTGCGCCCCTTGCTGTGCTCAAAAGAGCAGTAAGGGCACCATAGCTTTCCCCTTAAAATGGGGGGCTGGAAGATGGCTGTAGGTACTTGGGGTCCCAGCATGCTCAGTGATTGGGTGTCAGGGAAGGTAACAGCTCTGGCTCAGTAGAAGACTCATACACTTCCCACTCTGCCCTTGTGCACCCTCTCTGTGGGTTTTTCTCAAAATAGACTCATTTCTTTAACTCGCTTGCACATAGGTCTACACACTCATGCATGAGGAGGAGAAAGACCCTGCTGTGGGAGGAGGGTCTTAGGAGTCATTACCTGGAAGGCGCTGTCCTCAGTGACGAATGAGGGAGATGGTCATGTCACCACTAGGGATGGAGAAGGGGGTGGGGTTGATGCTTCTGGGTGCTGCAGGCTCTGAGGGGCTCCCCTAGTCTAGACTAGACAAGACTAGAACCTGAAAATGTGGTGGGAACATGGCCGTTCGACACAGAGCTGGAAGGGCCTTGCCTAAGAGCCCGCTGTAACCATTATACAAAGGAAGAAACTGTCCCAAGTTAGGGCAGATTCAGAACAGAGGCCCTGCCTGCAGAATGGGGGTCCTGAGCAGACAGAGCAGGAATTCCATAGCAGCCATGTCATTTGCCCCCCAATTCCATGGTTAGGCAGGGCATAAAGGAGCCATGGGAAGTAGTGGAGGAAAGGCAGGTCCTTCAGGAGTTAGATAGCCAGTTACATGTGGGGTTCCAAACAAAGGTGGGATCCCAAGGACTTGAGGACATCCAGGGTGCATCCTTCACCATTACCTCAATCTAGGTCTTTCATCCCTTATGTTTCCAATAAGGAGACCAAGGCCCGGAGATGGGCAGGGACTGGTCAGCATCACATAGCAGGTCTGAGCCAGAACCATCAGCCTGCCTACCAAGAGGACCTGGCTAAAAGGGACTCTCCCAGACACCACTCTGTAGCATGGATGCCAACTCACCTCTCTTCAGCCATAATGGCTTTGTTCAGCTTTTGGGACAGCTTCTGGAGATGCTGAATTCCTGCTCCCACAGGCTCTAGGTCACTGTCAGACTCGCTGATCACAAGGAAAAGCCACATCAGGGACCAGTTGGAGGCCTGGGGCTTTTCCTTCCTCCCAACCCAGCACTGGGTCCTGGCCTGTGGACCCAGGTGGCTCTGGTGGGCTGGGAATACCTCACCGCAAATCCTTACTCTGGGAAGTGACATCAAAGCCCAAGAGATTGAGGCCATAGGCAGTTGATGTTGTAGATAAGTGAGCCCTGCTGTTCCCTACTTGGAACCTGAGCTTCCACCCACCCCAGATGGCTTTCCCAGGAGGCTGGGGGAAATGGGATCAGTCAGAACTAGGATTACCACTTCCTTTTACAGACAGGGAATCTGAGGCCCTAAAGGATTTATTTCAGGCCCAACATTAGCTCTGGGGGCAGAGCTGGGCCAGAACACAGATGTGACTCATTTCAGTGTGCTGTGGCTCCAGGTAGCCATGGGAAGTGCTCAGAAGTCCCTGGGGCTTAGTTAGTGTTTGCAGGGTCAGGGAAGGGAAATTGTGCCTGGGCTCAGAGGCCACTAGTCCTGGGGAGAGGCATTGTTCCACTTGCCTGGGAGAGCAGAGGGGCTCTGTTGATGAGTAGGGGCTCTGGAAGGCAGCCTCCCTCCTTGGCCGCCGTCGTGGATGGACACGTGGGTCAACCCGGGCACAGAGGCAGTGATGCTCCCTCTCCTGGAGGTCTGAGGCGGCTCTAGACAGCCGAGTGTTCTTCTGGGTCAGGCTGGGAGGTGGGGAGCTACTGTCCTTCTGCACCCCTCTCTTCCTCCTCCTGGCTTTCACCTGTGTTTCCACCAGCCACTTGGTGCCACTTTGGCAGGACTCCTGGATTCTCTGTGATAGGTACCATAGAAAGCTTAGCATAGATCGAACCAAGGGTGAGCTACCCCAGGATCTAAGCTGTCTCTCCAACCCCAGAGCTCACAAGCTGTCCCATAAATACGTCCTGTTCTTAGTCTTGAGGGTGAGTGATGGGAAGGACTCCATGTGAGCCTGAACTTCATGGCAGGAGGGCCACTCTGGCCCACAGAGCCTCTACGTGTCCAAGTCTAAGCTCTCTTTCCAGGCAGAAACTGACCCAGAGACGCAAGAAGGCCCAGAGAAGACCAGGTCCAGCTCTCTGGATACCAGACCATTTGTCTTCCTGCTTCTGGTCTCACTCTCATCCCTCCTTCACATTGGTCCACAGAAATCCTTCTGTGGCAGTTCTCATAATGACACTCCATTGCTCAAAACCCTTCTATGGCTTCTTGCTGGGAGCAAGACCAAGTCCTAACTCTTGGGCTTGTCACACCAGCAGAGCATCAGTTAGGAGGGTTCTTTTTTTTTTTTTTTTTTTTCCCAAATGTTTGCAGTGTTTATTTCTAGAATTTTCCATTTAATATTTTCAAATTGTAATTGACCAAGGTAACTGAAATCATGGCAATTGATACCACAGGTAAGTAGGAAGGTTCTTTATGTGCTCGATTGTCTTTGCTATAGTAAACCCGAGTCCAGAGAATGGAGCAAGGCCCAAGTTAAGTTTGATGAGTTATGTGACCTTGTTTGTTTGTTTTTTGTGATGCTGGGGATTGAACCCAGGGCCTTTTGAGTTATGTGACCTTGAACAAGATATTTCATTTCATTTCTCTGGGCCATCAGGGTGTTGAAACCAATCATAGGGTTCCTCCAGATAAGGACTAGCATTTGACTCCAAGACCTCTTTACAAAGATTGCAGACATAGCTGCCTTCTCCTGACATCTTCAGAATTCCCAGTAAGATGATAAGAAGTCCCTGACCCCTCCCCCTAAACCCCCAGCTCCTGCCATTTTCTCCTTGGAAGTCTGTTCACTTACATGGCTTCTGCTCTTTCCAGGTGACATGACATCTCTCCACATCTCCAGCTCCATGTTTAAAGACTTATTTGATTGGAAGGCCCACAGGCACCCCACACCCAACATAATGATACCCTTCCTGCCCACACTTGTTCGTGACACCAAATCCTCTTAAATCCACCTTTTGCATAGCTCTTGAAGTTGTCCACTCTTTGACAAGCCTAGGCCTCCTCAGGGATGTATCAGCTCCTTGCTCTTTTCCAAGAAGCTAAAAAACAAGTCCTGATATGCTAACTGACAAGTTTTGAGGCTGGGGGTGTAGCTCAGTGGTAGAGGGCTTGCCTAGCATGCACCTGGGTTGCATCCTTGGCAAGGCAAAAACAAAGCAAAAACCAATCAAACAAAAAAGGATTCTTCCCCCTCCAGGGTGCTCCTGAGAGTCTGAACATCTGCACACCAGCTCTCCTTTCTCACTATTTCACCTTGCTCAGGCCATACCCCGACTAAGTTCCTGCCCCTTCTCTTTAGTATCTTATTTCCTCAGCTCCAACTCAGAACTCTGGGAAGTTGTCACTGACTAAGCTTGGGGTTTAGTGTCCCCTTATTGTTAGCTATTTGTTTGCAATTTCCTATCATAATACAACCTCTCATCATCTTGCACTGTGAGCCTGGATTTCCTCTGTGACAATGCTTCATTTATTTCCTCAACAAGTTGCCAGGAACTATTTGGAGTGCTGAGGAAAGAGGCATGAACTAAAAATCAAGTCATGGAGTCCATATTTTTGGGGGCTCCCTAAGGGTAAGAACTACTGGCACCAAGGATCATTTACCTGGGACATGGCGCCTAAGGCAGTCTTAGCTGAGCGAGCTGCAGCCTGTAGGCCCTGCTTCTCGGGCTCTGGGGTTTCCAGGCGTTTCCAGGAGGGGCCTGCTCGGAGGTTAAGGCTGACTGCTCTCAGGGGCAGCCTCCTTTGGAATCGTCTGCACAGGGAGCCCAGGGCTCCGCTAGATGTCTCTGGTTGGCCGGCTGCAGACCTTATCACCTCCTCCTCGGGCAGCTCCTCCTCTAGGAGATATCGTCGGCGCACAGAGGCCCCCATGTTCTGCCACTGAGATGCCATCTGCTTGGTCCAGTCTCCTCTACCCGTCACACCCTGGGAGGTTAAAAGGTAGGTCAGCACGACATTCCCCAACTCTGTTCCCACGCTCCACAGAGAAGGGATGGGATGGAGGTCCATGGTGTGAGACACTTGAACAACTCTGCGGGCTAGAAAGCGACTGCTTTATGCAAGCATGGTCACGGTCACAGCATTCTTGCTGTCCCACGCTTCACGTTTCCAAAACAGCTGTCTTCATCCCAATCTCCTCTCCAAAGATTCAGGTAGAAGGGAGGCAAAGTCTCACCAAACCTGAGCACTTGGTCCAGGACACGACCAGCGATCGGCTTGCCCAGACCCAACCCACTCCAGCCCAGACCCCCCAGCCATCCTACGGACACCAGATTTCTATCGGACATTTGCAATACCCAGACACCCCACATGCTATGCCTGTCCTAACCAGATTCCCTGTCCCATGCTGCCCCTCGAAGTTCCGCTCTCCTTTGAACAGACGCCCCTCCACATCACCGCCCCCCCGCTCACCCGGCTGCGACCGATTCGGGACCACACGCTCGGTACAGTGGTTTGTAGCTGACCCCAGCCGATTTGAAACTCCGCGCGGCTCCGCCCCGGGACTATGCTCACAGTTGACTGGCTGCGTCCCCTCGCCAACGCCGTGCCCGGGATCCGATTGGCCCCTTTCTCTCGCGGCTGTAAACCTTGCTTTGGGATTGGCCCGGTTACCCCCATTCATCGCTCCAGACCCCCGCCTGGCAGCCTGCGGGGGCTCCTGCGCGCTGGGCGGGTGGAATCCGCTACCGCGGACTCACTCATCCCGGGCGCCACCTCCCGGTAGCTGGGCCTCTGGCCGCCGCGCCCAGTTAGATCGCACCCTCTGGCTCCCTGACTTGAGCCTGCACAGGATTCCGGCTGGAGGGTGGGGCGTGGGGGCAGGGGTCCCGAGCATCCACAACCCTGTAGCAGGTGGCCTCCGGCTGCGTGCCCCTTCGCTGGCAGCAGCCCTGACCTCCTGAGACCTGGCTTTTCTTTCTCGTTTAGTGTTTTTGTCAGAGCCAAGGATGGAGGTTTTGTTTCAAATTTCCCTCAAGACTTTCTTAGGTACTGAGACCAGGCACTGCACCTCTGTGTTCTCCAAATGCTCATCCCCCCTGTGCCCCAAGCTTCCAAACAAGCTCAAAAACCCTCCACCTTTATAAAGCTCTTCCCAACTGGGCTCCCTCCAGACCTCAAAGCAGCACTGTCCAGTCCCCACCCCAACTACCCTGCCTCCCCGCATGGCAGGGAGGATGGTTTGGATTTTTTTTTTTTAACCTTCATTTTTATTGGTGCTGAGGATCGAACTCAGGGCCTCGCATATGCTAGGCGAGCACTCTACCACTGAGCCACAATCCCAGCCAGAGGAGGGGCTTTTGAGCTCTGTCTTCAGTCCACCTCTCCATGTCTGGGTGATATCACCCACTCCTTTAACCTCAGTGATCACCCCCTGCCCCCAGGACGATGATGATGACAATGAACTTGTACATGGCACTTTTATGCACCAGGCTCAGGTGTTCCAAGCACTTCATATGTATTTAGGAACACAGTGGACCTTCACTGCCACCTACAACTTGATGAGGACATTTCACCCAGTGAGTAAAATATCAGGGCCAAGGATTCAAACTCCACCAATCCAGGACCAGCGGTAATGTGCCTAATAATATAAAATTATGTTATTTAAAGCTGAAGCCTCGAGAAAGAGTTAGCCAGGCAAAGAATGTGTCTGTGTATTTGTCTAATTGTGTGTTTGTGTACCCTTCCTGGCTACAACATGTTCAATGGGGACAAGTACTCATTTTAAGAAAACCAGCCCATACTCATACATGAACTAAAACCAAAACTTTATCTGACAGTTCTTGACTCTGTGATACGCTCTGAGATTTATTTTCTATTTCATTTTTAAAAACCAAGGGTTCCAACTCCCTGCTTGCTTTTACCCTGGTCACTCGTGTGTGTGGGCTGTGGTTTGAAGGAGTGGGAAATGCTTGTACCCAAACCTATTTTATGCCAGTTGTATCGACAATTGTTATCAGGGAATTGAATGCGATGAAATGGGAGGAGGAGAGAGTTGTTTCTATGGGAAAGACTCAAGGAATTTGAAATGCTTAGAAACAAAATCTCTCAAACTGGAGGGCCTTGTCACAGTTGTCTCCGCAGTGCCTGTCTTCATGGTTGGCGCATCATAGGCATCCATAATAATAGCTTTTTTTTTTTTTTTTTTTGAGGCCTTACCACGTGTCCGACGCTCAGTTAAGTGCATTTACTTCCTCAATCCGCATGGCAGCTTCAGGAAGTGGTGCTATTTTTATTCCCATTACAGATGACAAAACTAGAATTCAGCAGGCGAAGTATCTTGTCCAAGATTGCACGGAACGTCAGAGCTGGAACTTCAATCCTGGATGTCTGACTTCCAAACCTTTGAATTTTGTTTGTGTGACCTTAGATGCCACATCTTTGTTAAGTATCTGGGATGCGGACACCCAGAGCCTTCTCTGTTTGGAGCTTCCTACCCTCTTGCGTCTCAGAACGGCAACTGGCAGACCAGGTTAATGAAGAGCAGTCTCCATGGCAACAAGAGAGGGCAGAAGAAGTATTTTTTTTTCTGAATGAGAAGACTTTCCCTTCAGTCTTGCCTGGAGGGTGGCTCCAGGGTGGGAGGGATTCTCTAGGCAAGCAAAGCAGGTTCCAGAGGCAGGTGCAGGCACCCCTGCTCCTTAGAAGGAGGAAAAAAAAATAAGTCCATTGCCCCAAGTGGTATCCAGCTCCTGGCCTGTGCTGGGGAGGGATGGGGAGGAACTTCAGGCATGCTGGGTGGGGAGATGATGGGCTTTTCTCCAACAACAAGGCTTGCACCAATTTCCTTTACCTACCTCCCGGAGCTGTGAGTCTGATGGAAGAAACAGACATTAAGCACATTACTGTAAACCCTTACAATTGTTCGAAATACCAGAAAAGAGAGTGATGGGGGTGGGGGGAAGGGGAGAGGATGTAAATGGGGTGGGGAACCTCACTTGGGCTAGAGGTCAGGGAAGTTTCCCTAAGTATGTGAAGTTTTAGCTGAGGAGTCAGGGGGCTGATGTTGGGGGGCAGGGTCTGGAGCACTGCCATGTTCCAGGACAGGACAAAGGCTGATAAAAACAGAGAGCAGGGCTGAGGGCAGGGGCCAGAGGTAGAGGTGTGTGGGCCAGGGGAGGAATTCAGAGTGTTTCCTGAAGGCAGAGGCAAGTCCTTGCTGAATTAAGGAGAGAAACTGCTAACTAGAATTGTGATTGAATAAAGTCCTTGGGAGACTGGTTTGGGGGCGAGATTGCCAAGGGTCATCCTGGGGGCTGGGGTCTGGCACAGGTGGTGAAACTTCCTTTCTCAGTAGTGGACCCCCAGCCCCCTGGCATTGGCACCTAGGGCCTCTTCCCTTTGTCCTGCAGCTCTTCCAGCCAACCCAGGGTCAAATCCATTAGTTTTTTCCTCCTAAATATCACTGCGATCCAAGTGTGCCCTTTGGCCCTTCTTCAAAGGGAAGCGATGGAAACAGTGGGAGAGTTTCAAACATTGTAAGAGGAGCACAATTAGGTCCTTTTCTCCCATTGTGAATTCAGTCACAATAGAAAAATGCCCCTGATAGAAACCCGAGAATAATGAATCCTTACAAAGCAAACTCCCAAGTAACCAACTCTCAGGTCAGGAGGCAGTGTGTTCTCCTTCCCCCACTAGCGGTTTATGGCAATCACTTTTATTTTCCTTTGAAGTTGTTTAGAGTATCATTTTATCTTCTATGCATGCATACCTTCTAGGTTGCTCCGTGGTTGGAAAAAGAAAGGAAGAGAAGAGGGAAGGGCTGGTCTTTGCATCTTCAAGCAGACATGGACCCAGGCCCTGGGGTGGGGTGGTTTGAACCCTCAGAGAGGGTTTCCTGGAGGGGCCAAGCTGGGTTCTCTGGCTCTGACCAGTTTACCCACCTTTGGCTTCTTGCAAGCCAACAGCTATTAGTGGAAGTTAAGACTTTTGGGGGTGCTGGATTTTGGGGTCTCATTCATAGCTCTAGGCCTCTCCACTTCATGGAGAGGGTGGTAGGAAAGGAGAATCTTCCTTTTTAGCTGGGAAAATGGATTTAGAGAGGATGGAAGAAATTCAAGGCCTCAATGTCAGTAAATAAGAGGTGGGGTCAGTCTTTGAATTCAGCTCTGTGAGGCTCCTAGCTCTTCTTATGTCTGCCAGTGGCACATCCTATGTCCCTTCCCTCTGTAACAAGTCAGCATCCAGGACAAAGTGGTGTTGTGGGGGTCCTCCATCAGCCTCAGGACTCTGGGGAGCGGAATTGATCTGACCACTAGGTAGCGCCAAACACCCAAGTCTTCACATTGAATTGTCATAGCGTCTCAAAGGGAGTGACACCCTGAATAAACTCTGCCTGGGTCCCAGGATCCAGGGCTTAAGAACTCCAAAAAGGCTAGAGACCACCGAGTATGGTGGCACATCCCTGTAATCCCAGCAGCTCTGGAGCCTGAGGCAGGAGAATGGCAAGTTCTAGGCCAGCCTCATTCAGCAACTTAGCAAGACCCTCAGCAGCTTAGGGAGATCCCATCTCAATAAAAAAATAAAAAGGACTGGGAATGTAGCTTAGTGGTGAAGTGCCCCTGGATTCAATCCCTAAATCCAAAAAAAAAAAAAAAAAAAAAAAAAAAAAAAAAAAAAAAAAAAAGAAAAAAAGAAAAGAAAAGAAACCCAAACCAACAGAACAAAACGGCTGCAGAAGACACCTCACCTTTCCCAGACCTGCCTCTGTCTCTTAGACTCCAAGTTCTTGCTTAACCAGAAAACTGCATCTCTCCCCTCTGACCACATCTCCACCTCCTGAGGACAGATAAAGGGGAGAGGAGGAAGAGGAAACAGGGAAGAGGCAGGGTGGTGGAATCAAAGGCAGCAGTGCCCCTGCCTGGGGTCCAAAGGGACTTAGAGTGTAGGACTAGGGTCATGGCTCCCTGGACCAGGCAGAGCAAAGGGGACTGTAGGCCTCCCTTCCTCTTCTCCTTTGGCTGCCTCCAGGCCTCTCCTGCTAGTTTCTCTACTCCTCTGCCTTCTTTAAGAGAGATTAGCTGCCCTTCTTCCTTCTTAAGATGGCAGAAAACCAAAGCTTGACACAATAATGGTGGGTGTCAGACAGGGGCTTTTCATCAATGTGAGGGGTCACGGATGGGGCAGAAGAAAGTTGCCTGCAGTGACCACAGTAGCCCTCACTCTCATACCCCCCCCTAAGATCGCACGAGCCTCTGCCCCCCCCACCCCCCCCCCCCCCCCCGAGCAAATCCTCAAGTGTCTCAGCGGCTTAGGTGTCCTCCCCCTTGGATGAGATTATCTCAGCCTGGGCTGGGCATGTCCTTCCACCTGCAGCCATGGACACCACCATGCTCCTGAATGTGGAAGGGGTCAAGAAGACCATTCTGCACGGGGGCACAGGGGAGCTCCCAAACTTTATCACAGGATCCCGAGTAAGTGTCCCCCACTTCCACCAAATGGGGCTCCCCATGGAAGCCTTTCTCTTTTCAGCTGTGCACACCGCACGTCCACCAGATTTCGACTTTGCCCAAGACCAGCCTGGTGGGCCTATCCTGGAATGGTCCACCCCAGACATCTGAGCTGGCACCCATTTATAGGGCATTTTTAATACTTTGCTGGTTAAAGTTTAGTATGGGCTGAGAGGAGGGGCTTTGGGGAATTTTCTGGAGTCCCAAGTATTAAGTGAGAAGAAAGGGCCCTTGGGGGTCATGATGTTTGTCCCCAAATGTCTGGTGGCTGAGGGATGTGTCTTTGACCCCCCCTGGAACTTATTTAAGGAGGGACTTTCAGACATGCAGAGCAGCAGAGAGAGACAATAGGGTCCTTTGGGAGAGAGATGTGGACTCCTTGTCCCTGGTAGGAAACGGATGGGGAGGAGGCTCATGCTGTCTGGGGTGCCCTATCAACTTATCAGGTATGGGTGAGCTGACCTCTGAGGGCATCCCTGGGGGTCTGCCGCAGTGGGGGCTTCTTCTGGAACTTGGGAGGTGTGCAGACCAGGGTCAACTCTCTTGGTGGCCAGGTGACCTTTCATTTCCGCACCACAAAATGTGACGAGGAGCGCACGGTGATAGATGACAGCAAGCAGGTGGGCCATCCCATGAACATCATCATGGGGAACATGTTCAAGCTCGAAGTCTGGGAAACCCTGCTGACGTCCATGCGGATCAACGAGGTGGCAGAGTTCTGGTGTGACACCATCGTGAGTAATCCACGTTGGCCCACTCCCCCATCTGCTCATCCAGCTTCTTTGCAGAGCTGTAGCATTTCAGGAAGGTTGGGAGTGGGAACCAAACTCTCCAAGGCAAATCCCACATCCTCATTCCCTGTCATTGGAAATAAGATATCTCCAACCAAAAGAATAGGCCCTTCAGTGACAACCAGGGCCATGACTGGCTGAGGGTGTGTGGGAGTGGGAGGCTATGCCCTTTGGGAGTGAGCCCACCCACTTTACAGTTCTTACTTTTTGCACAACATTTTAAGATCCGGGAGACTTTTGGCCATATGTTGCTTTTTTATCCCTCTTCCCCAGACCTACCAACATTGCAAAAAAAAAAAAAAAAAAAACCAAAAAAAATCCCAACTTTTTTTTGTTTTGTTTTGTTTTTGTATTTATGGTACCCTTAGAAATTATCCTTAGAAATTAGGCTCCTTGTTCTGTGGCCCATATGGAAATGGCAAAACTCATAGACAAACAAACACTGCTTACAATTGCACATAAAAGTCAAAGCCAAAGCATAATGAATTTGCAAGTCCCCACCACCTGATGCCATCAACCCATAATCAGTCCTGCTTTATCCACCCCTGAGGCACTTACCTTCCTCATCCCACATGGTGAAAGCAAATTCCAGAACCAGCTCATTTTATCTGTAAACATTGAGATGTGTATCTCTAAAATACAAGGATATTTTAAAAACACAACCACAATGTCATTATTAAATCTTTTTTAAAATTTGAATAATTCCTTCATGTCATTTAATTTCCAGTTGCTTAGAATTTCTGTTTTATTTTTTTCCTCATTTATTTCTTATAAGTGAATGAGTTTGGTTTGTTCATTTAGGATCCAAAGTCCATAGGTAGTGGTTTATTGATATGTCTTCCAAATCTCTTGTTATTTATGGAGTTTATTTTATTTTGATTTGGATTTGTTGGAGGAACAAGGTCAGTTGTTCCGTAGAAGTTTCACATTCTGAGTTTTCTCATTGTTTTTCTATGGAATTGTCTAACATGTTCCTCTATTCCCCATACTTTTGTTCAATTGGGAGTTTGGTCTACAGGGCTGGACAAGATTCAGGTTCTTTGTTTTTGCAAAGATATGTCATGGATGGTACTGTGTACCTCTCATTGAGAGGCACACCATGCCTGCTTCTCCTATTGTGACATTAAGATTGATGGGTGGGCTCAGGAGTTGACAACCTCATCCATCCATTAAAAGCTCCCCCTTGATGTTCACTATTGATGGTGGATGTGCCTACAGATTATTTCACCAGGGGCTAATGACCTTTTGAAAGAGTAATTTGGGAGAGAAATAAACCTGCACTTGAACTCTGTTTTTTTATTAGCTGTGTGGCCTGGGGAGGTCCTTCCTCCCTTCTGCCACTCTATTGCCTCATCTATAAGTAAATACAAGCCTAAGTTAAAGGGTTCTTTTGGAGATTCCATGATGCTATGTATATGAGTGCATACAGGGCAGTTGAAAAGCTGGGACTATAATTTTGAGTTACAAGATTTTAAAGATTAACTCCTTCATTTTACTAAAAATGAGATCCACAATATACTCACAAAGGGAACGAGTCTGTTGACAGAGAAAGTTACGTGACCTGAGCCAAACAAGTTGAGGGACAGGATCCAAGTGAGGGCCGTGATCCCTCACTCCTTTGTCCAGTGCATGATTCTTTTTTTTTTTTTTTTTTAAGTGCCTGATTCTTAGAGTCAGGCTGCAATTCCATCCTCCACCACTAGGTGATCCCACCCAACGTGTCACTCATTACTTAGCAAATATTACTTGAGCGTCTTGTCTTGGTACCAGTCCCTTTGTATTCATCCGGATGCTTTCTAATTTTAAAAGGCATTTTATTTTTATCACATTAAGAATTTAGAGAATTGGCTTTTTCTGTAGTTTCAGTTAGTTTAAAACATATGGCCTGAACTAAAGGTGCATATCCATTTAAAATTATAAAATTATATAATTTAAAATTTATATAATTTTAAATGGATATGCACCTTTAGTTAAAGCCATATGTTAGACAGGCTTTGTCACCAACAACCCCTCCCCATAGGATGCATGTTTAATAGTGCAGAAGAGCTGCATGCATGGAGCTATCAATAAATTCTTAATTAGTTGATTGATTTGTTGTTTGCAAAACTACAAGCTGCTGTTGCTTCTGCCCTGTGGGCATGGCTCTGGGTTTTCTGTGGTGTCTGTGCTTTTTTGGCCACATCAACAGTCAGATGAGTGCACTGCTCCTCTCACAATCTGGTCACTTTTATACCAGAGTGATTGTTGGTTTTCCTGATAGCCCCCCCACATCTCCTCCTCCCAGCCCACAGTTACCATGATCGCACAGGCACATGCAGCCATATATAACTTCCACGGTTATTTATAGACCCATATGTCCACATTTTGTCTGTCAATCCATCCATCTGCCTACTCAGGCCTCAATTAATCCATTCTTCCCTTCAACCAATATTCATTCATAGTCTCATCTTCCATCATTAAACCTTCATCTGTCCATTTCTCTCTTTCTTTTTCCAACCATCCATCCATCCATCCATCCATGCACTTAGCAAACTGCCACTGGACATCTGACTTGACTTTTCTGAGTGTTAGAAGTGAAACAGGCAAAGTCCGCAGCCCTCAAGGAACTCAATTTCTGGGGGAACAGATATCTAGACTATTATAATGTGGGGCATCCAGTGTCACAATGTAAGTAGTGAGAGCAGAGTGCTTTAAAGCCAACAAAGAGGGACAACTAACTGCTTTAGGGTCTTGGGGGGATTTCTTTAAGAAGATGCCATTGAACTGGTCTTGGAGTTCATCAGGCCTAGGAAGGAAGGAAGGAAGGAAGGGTGGCATCCACATCAGGAAATGTGAGAAGGCCTGGTGTGTTCCATTTAGTCAGTGCTTCTCCTCTGTGGGCATCTCTCTGCCCAAGAACCTAAATACCAGGAGGAGTAGGCAACCAGTGTGACAATCAGTTCTGTTTGAGAAAGGACCAAGGAGACCTGGCCTTCCCCACCAGTCACATGCATCATTCTCTGCAGAGCCGTCTGCCTGGACAGTCCTCATCAGATGACCTTAAAGTTTAGGTCTCTGACCCTCCCTCCCTTCCCTAAATCAGAGGGACAGGGTCAGTGAGGGGTTCTGGGATTTTCTGTTCTGAAATGTATTCCTCCCTCTCCCAGGGGGAGGATACTGGTCTCCATGCAGATCTGTTTCTGGTGCCCAATCTTGTGAGGCCTGGGGTTGCAAATTCAAATTCCATGAGGGGTCAGAAACCTTGGTGGCCCCATTTACAGGGGGCAGCTGCTCCTCATCTCCACCTGGATGGCTGCCATGTCAAAGGGACAGGGCCCAGTGTGGCCCAGTGTGGTCTGAGGGCATGTTCAGAAATCTGCAGAAGCCTGTGGACTCTCCCAAAGTTTAATCATTGAAAACTAATTTAAAAAAACAAAAACAGACGGGCTGGGGTTGTGGCTCAGTGGTACAGCGCTTGCCTAGCATGTACAAGGCACTGGGTTCGATTCTCAGCATCACCTATAAATAAATGAATAAAATAAAAAAAAGATCTATCAACATCTAAAAAAAATATTAAAAACAAACAAACAAACAACAACAACAACAGCCTTAAAGCCCCCCAAATGGTGGTGACACTGGGCTCCCCTGTCTCCAGTTGCTGCCCCAGTGGGCTGAGTCAGTCCCAAGGGCTGGAGCCTGGGTTCATGCAGACTTGTGTGCAGACCTGTGTATGACTGTGCTGCCCCTGCTGGCCTGAAGCCTGGCAAGTTAGGCCTCAAGGGCTGGCAGAGCAGAGATTGGCACCTTCCTTGCTCTCTCCAAGGTGCTGCCCAGGAGACTCAAGAGACTGCAAGACTTGGCTGTGTTTCCTGGCCTTTATCCTCCTTCCTGGGATTTCTCTCTGTTCCTGGTAGCATCCCACAGCCCACTGGTTGATGTATGGGGGCCCTGGTACTTCCAGGTGGCAGGTGTCCAGCAGGACAAGGCCTTGGTCAGGGGGCATGCCCAGTACCAGGACAGCCTGGTCCAGAGCTCCTGCTCAATATGCTGTGGGACAAGTCTGGGGAGTCGTGGCTGCTGCTCCCTGCAGCAAGTGAGTCCTGGGGCCACTCCCTCCACCAGGCCAGCCTTAATCCTGCAGGCTCAGCTGCCATCTGGCCGGTGGCTCACAAAGGAGCTAATCCAGGCAGATGGGGGTGGGGAAGGTGACCTCCCTGCCCTCTGTCCCTTCCCTCTCCCAGTGCTGAGTGTTGCTGGAGCTATGCTTGGGGGCCCGAGCTGGGCCACTTCAGAATCTGGCCAGGGACGTGGGTTCTCAGAAAGCACAGTTGGGGAAGTTGGGGCTCCAAGGCTGATTCCCCAGCCCTCTTCTACCTGAGATGGCCACCCCAGCTCCCAGTGGCTGCCATGAGCCAGACTTATTCTGTATCACCCCCTACAATCCCTACAACTGTAAAGTGTTGGCACTTCACAGGGCACCAAGGGAACTGGGATTCAGGGAGGTGCTGTGACCTGGGCTCACTCCTGGTCTGCAGAACTTCCAGGTTGCTCTGCCAGCCCTCTTGGAGTGGGACCCTGATCCCTCCACTGCTACATACTGTCCTTCCTATGAGTCATAGGCTTGTGAAGCTCAGGGTCTCCTTGAGGAAGAGATGTGTGACAGTCAATCACAGGCTACTTGAGGCTAAGGGCATGGCTTAGGGAGATAGTTTGGAATTCTGGCTCTGTCCTTGGCTAGTTGTATGACCTTGAGCAAATTGTTGAACCTCTCTGGGCTCTAGTTTCCTTATCTGTAGAATGGGGATATTAGCAATGTCTCCCTCCTTGGATTATGTTAAGAATTGAAGTTAATAAAGTGCTTTTTTTTCTGGCATACCATTGACAACAGTTGTTATTGGTACAGTGGGACAGTGGATTCTGCTGGGAAGGGAGTAGGGGGTCTTTGTGCCCCAGCTAACTCTCAGCAGATAATCCAGATGCTACCCATCTGTCTCTCCTACAGCACACGGGGGTCTACCCCATCCTGTCCCGGAGCCTGCGGCAGGTAGCCGAGGGCAAGGACCCCACAGAGTGGCACGTCCACACATGTGGGCTGGCTAACATGTTTGCCTACCACACGCTGGGCTACGAGGACCTGGACGAGCTGCAGAAGGAGCCGCAGCCTCTGATATTTGTGATCGAGCTGCTCCAGGTGGGACTCTGGGGTCAGGAGGATGAGGGGGCTGTCTCAGTACCAGAGGGGGAATGGCGACAGGAGGTATCCTGGGGAGCCCCAGCCCCACTTGCCTTGATATGGCCTATTTCTCCCCAGAGAACAAGAAAGTGTTCAAGGGCCTCAGAAGGATTGGAATTTAGAAAGAAAAATCCCGGTTTATTTATTTATTTATTTTTCCCAAGAGAAAAGCCCACTTGGAACCAACTTAAAAGAAATGTGGTTCATGTTTCTTGGAGAGGCATTTTTCTGCTACTTCCATTTGTGTTTTGAAAAGTTTAGGATCACAACCTCCTGCCTGATCCCTGTGGTTTGTGGGCTCAGGCTTGGTTCTTGGAAAATCTGGGAGAGGCTACATGGAACTATCCACACCCTCCCATCCACACCTCAGAGTGATTGATGGCACATGTTTGTGGGGCTGTGGGGGAGGATCAGGGTTAGGTCAAGGCCAGGCCAGGAATCAGCTTATGGTCAAGCTGAGGCTCAGACTCAGGGCTACATGGGCAAATAAAAATAAAAGAGAGAACTGTGGCAAACACAGGCCTTAACAGGCTTGCTCAAACAGTTGCACAGCACAAGGACATCTCCTCTAAGGTGCTCCTTGTAGACATTGCACATTTGTATTTTTATAATGACAACTTTCCAGCAGATGGCAATAAGGTAATGCAATGTATCTTGTAATGCAATGAGTATCCATGACAGTTCTGAATATTGGGAGTCAAGTGTCCCGATGAAGATGTACCTTTTCCTAATTTGCACAGAGTATCGATTTAGGGCAGGGTCCTGGGCCTTGTTGCTTCCTTCCCCTGTGCATGCGTTTCTGACCAGCAAGCATGATCCTTCTAGCACATGACACTGTGGTCAATACAGAGCTGACTTCAGGGGGCCTTGCTGGGTCCACCTTCCCTGGTGTCTGCTGAGGTTCGGGCTCCTGGGCTCCCTGCCGCACTCACCCGCAGTTCTTGGGCCAGGTTGAGGCCCCGAGCGAGTACCAGCGGGAGACATGGAACTTGAACAACCAGGAGAAGATGCAGGCAGTGCCCATCCTCCACGGAGAAGGAAACAGGCTCTTCAAGCTTGGCCGCTATGAGGATGCTTCCTCCAAGTACCAGGAAGCTATCGTGTGCCTGCGGAACCTGCAGACCAAGGTGGGAGGCTGCCCTCTAGGGCGGGAGGTGGGGTTGGCTCTGGAGGAATAGTCCTGCCCTGGCCTCGGTGGATTGGGGAGGAGGGGGGTCCTTTGGCTGCCCAAGCTCAAGGCTGATTTTCTGCACTGGGCAGGAGAAGCCCTGGGATGTGCAGTGGCTGAAACTGGAAAAGATGATCAACACCTTGATCCTCAACTACTGCCAGTGTCTGCTGAAGAAGGAGGAGTACTACGAGGTGCTGGAGCACACCAGCGACATCCTCCGCCATCACCCAGGTGCGGGTCACAGGGCGGGGCGTCCCAACAGGTGGAGGGGTGTCCGGCCCAGGGGCACAGGGTCACCTGCAAAGACCTTTGTGGACTTCTCTCCCCATCCCTTTGAAGCCTCAAATTTGTCTCCACCTAGCAGGGTTTCCCCAAACATGCAAGGAAGGTATGGGGGGGGGGGCTCACCGTGGGAAGTATTTTAAAGTGCGCACACTCCACTAGCTCATCCGACTTACTAGTGATTTTGTGGAGTAGTCATCAAGCTTTTTAAAGAAGCAGGCAATCAATCTATAGAAAGGTAACAAAGCCACACTAGTACCCGGGGTGCGGTGACATGGCAATATTTGTGAAGAAGGTATTTGAACAATGTTAACAGTGACAGCATCAAAAGCGCATGCACCAGGCACGAAGTCCTCTTTTTAAAATTATCTTACTTCCTCATCCCCATAGTCACCGTGTGGGGTAGTGTCAGGTTAGGACCTTCAGATTCTGCTGTTTTGGGGAGACTTTATCAGGAAAAGAAGACACAGTTCTGAATATAAAATGAGTTACAGGTTTTGGAAAAATCCATGCAAGGGAGAGGAGCCGGGACTGTGGTGATTTCGCAGAGGAAGAAACAGGCATAGGAAGCACCTAGGGGCTGGGGCGGGGGCGGGGTGCCGGGTTTTGCAAACCCGGCAGCTGAGTGCAGTGCGATCCTCCCCGCAGGCATCGCGAAGGCCTACTACGTGCGCGCCCGGGCTCACGCGGAGGTGTGGAACGCGGCCGAGGCCAAGGCGGACCTGGAGAAAGTGCTGGAGCTGGAGCCGTCCATGCGCAAGGCGGTGCATAGGGAGCTGAGGGTGCTGGAGAGCCGCATGGCCGAGAAGGAGGAGGAAGAGCGGCTGCGCTGCAAGAGCATGCTGGGCTAGGCTGCCTGTGCTGTGGGGTGGGGACCCCCAAACCTTTCCCGTCTCAAGAGCTTTGGCCGCTTCACTGACCCCTCTGTCTTGCAGCCTGCAGGGCACCCAGGCAGGGAGAAGATGGCCTGATCATTTCTGGTTCAACTGACCAAGGTTTTGGTTTCCCTTTTAAATTTTAAAATTATTTTTTGAGGTCTGGGAATATAGCTCGGTGGTGGAGTGCATGCTTTGCAATATTGAGGGCCTGAGTTCCATCCCCAGATGAAACTTCACCAGGCCGGATACCCCCCCCCCCCCCCACTTCAGCCCCAACACAGAGTTTTTGTTTATTTTCGTGGTACCACTGAGCCACATCCCCAACCCTTTTTATTTTTATTTTTATTTTGAGACAGGGTCATGCTAAGTTGCAGAGGTTGGCCTGGAACTTGTGATACTTCTGCCTCTGCATCCCAAGTAGCTGGGATTATAGGCGAGTTTTCACCATGCTGCGCTACAATTATTATTTTTTAAAAATCAAAGTCATGCATGTCCATGGTTTAAAAAAATCAAAAGAGATAGAAGAACTTATGAATAAAAGTGAAATTTCTTTCCTATCCCTTTAGCTCAGATGTCGCTGCTTTAATTGGTTCTGTTTTTATTCTTCGGGTCGTTTTCTCTATCTCCAAATAATACATTTGTCTTACAGCTTCTCTCTGCATCATTTGACCCCGTGTTAATGAAATATGAAGATGCCATGCTTTGGCAGTTTCTCAGCCCTTTCCTCTCTTTCTCCCCATTTTGGATGTTTATATATTTTGGGACTTCTTTTTGGTTCTCTTTGTGTAACTGTGTATTATATACCTAGGGCTCCCCAGAATTTCATGGACTTTAGTCCATCTGGTGACTCCTGTGTAGGATGAAGATGGCAATGTGGGGACCCTTTCCTTCCTTCTCCCCCACCCCCACCTCCTCCTGCTTCCTGAAGTTCAAGGTACTTTACTTTTCCATCATCCTGGTTGTTGACACCTGTCTTGTGTTCTGTAACCAAAATGGTCTTCTGTGCTTTGTCCACAGATTGAAAATCAATAAACAGCATTTACATGATTATGGCCTTGTTAAGTAAGTTTCTCTGCAGGGCCCGTGGGACTTTGCATTTCTTCTTCTGAGGTTCCAATTCCTTGACCCCTTGGGCCACCAGAACGAGGATGCTCCTAGCATCGGAGAGGCAGTGTGTACTTTAGTCTGGAGGTGCTTTACTATTTCTTTCATTCTTCTTTTCTTTTGTGGTGCTAGAGGTTTAAAGTTGAAGCCCTCCCTGTCTTGGAGAAAAGGGAGGTTCGTTGTTGGTTGACTTTGGATTGGTGCTTGGTGAGACAGCCAGGCCTATTATGAAGGAACCAGGTGGGAGGAGGCGGTTTTAGGGGAGGTCAGAGGAAGGGGACTTTATGATCTTCAGAAGCAGCAAAGGAGGAGTATCCTGAGGTCATTGAGAGTCCCCTGAGATGGAGAAGGTGGAACAGGACACGCGGGCGGGAGGGGGTGTGCAGCAAGGGAAACTTTGTCTGCTCCTTCCTGGTAGCGCTGCTCTGGGAGAGGCCCGGATGGTGTCTGGAGGCTCCAGGTGGCTCAGAAGCAGAGAGGAACCTGGCACGGGATGCTGTCTGAGGACTGACCAGTCACTATGACCCGAAGAATTCCCAGCTTTCCCTGCTCTGTCCATTTTGTATGTACCACATTCCCACTGCTGCCCTTTCTCCTGGGGACAGTTTGAATACCACCTTATTGGTCAGGGTGTGGCCCACAGGTCTCACAGCAAAACTAATGCCCAAATGCGTTCCAGGACCCTGCTTGGTCTTGTTTGACCCCACCTGGGTTGACAGTTCTCTTTCTGATGCCCTAGAATAGTTTTCCCAGGGAAGAAGAGGGTTGGGGGTCAAGACATCTGTAGACTATGGTGGGAGGGATCCTGGAGAGAGAGAGAGAGAGAGAGAGAGAGAGAGAGAGAGAGAGAGAGAGAGAGAGAGAGAGAGAGAGAGAATACAGGGGCCACTTATCCTATGTTACTGTCATCCAAAGTCAGAGAATGGGACAATAGTACCAGTTTTCAGAGAAATTATTGCATCTCACACCCCACCTTACTAGTGCAGAGGAAGTGGGATGCAGAATACACCTGGGAAGCTTCCCCATCCAGAGTCCTGGTGTCTTCATGGGCTTTCTTCTGTGCTCTGAAAACTGGCCTTGAGGAAGGTCCTGATTGGCCAGGTCTGGGCAGGGGGATGCAGGGGTGATCTCTGGAGGTCAGCTTTCCCAGGGATCTAGCTGGAGCGCATTGTTTTTCCGAGGCCAGCAGGGGGCAGCAGAGAACAAGCAAACTGTCCTCCCAGAGCCAGGTGGTGGGGTTCTGATGTGGTTGATCTTTCCGCAGGCACCTTGTCCACCCCTGCCTTCTGCAGCTCCAGTAGGTCAGGAAAGCTGATGACAGTGAAGGAGGTGCTTAGAACCAGGGAATGAGATTGCCAGCTGCCGGGGGCCTTATCAACAAACCAGTCCTATCCCCTTGTATGGACCGGGAAAGAGGCTCAGAGGTGGCCAATATGCTTCACCCCACTTCAAATCTGAGGTAGATCCTAGATTAGCATCCAGGTTTCCAAACCTCCCAGCTGGGGCTTTTTGTATGTCACTATGCTGCGCGTCCCTCAACAGATAGTCCAGACATGGGTATGATGCATTAAAATAAGGAAAAGGAAAGAGGGAGAGTGTGAAACTTATATTAAGAAGCAAGTTGGAGCCTGCCAGCAGCTTTTGTTTGGAGCAGTCAGAGAGGCCCCTTGAGAGGTGCTTGTATGGGTTTTGTAGCCCCCTCTGGCCTGGTCCTTCCCTCCAAGCATGAGTAGTGTTTTACCAGGGCATTTGCTCCCAGGTATGAGCCATCTTCTGACCTCCATCCTAACTGGGCTTGATGAGGACCCTAAGACCAGGGAATGATTTTTAGGAGGATTGTAAGGGGGATAGGTAGCCAGAGGGAGCCACCCCCTCATCTTCTGCATGTGTATCAGATTTCTATGGCTGCTGAAGCAAATTATCACAAACTTAATGGCTTAAAGCAATACATTCTTTTCCCCTTGCCCTTCTGGAGGTCAGAATTCTACAGTGGCTTGGCAGGTCTGTGTTCCTTCTGGAGTCTCTAGGGGAGAATCTTTTTTCTTGCCTTTTCCAGCTTCTAGAGACTCCCTGCATTCCTTGGTGTCTCCATCTTCAAAGGCAGCAAGGTAGCACCTTCCAATTTCTCTGCATCCCTAAGCTCCACCCTCATGCTGCCTTGGTGTGCCTCGGACCCCCCTGTCTCCTTCTTTCAGAGACTCCTGTGGTTGTATTGGGTCCATCTGGAAAATCCAGCACAATCTCCCCACTCTGAGACCCTTGACAACCACCCCTGCAAAGTCCCTTTTGCATGTTAGGTAACCTGTTCACAGGTTCTGGGGATGAGGATGCAGGCCTGTTTGGGTGGGGGGAGCCATTGACAGTCCACCCCAGCTGGTTAGTCTCTACCTGTCCCTGATCTGTTCCCTACCTTTCTCTGTGCCCACACATATCCGGGGCTCCTGGTCTTTGGTCCCCTCCAGTTGGGTTTGGCTGACAGCGGGTACCAGCCAGAGATCTGCTAATGGAAGGAGAGCATTATGGGTATTTGTTTCTCCTAGTCCTTCCTTACTGGATTGTGGTTTGGCAGTGGCTGTGCCCTTTGACCTGCGGTCGCAGCTGGTGCCTGACCCACAGTTCTTGCTGGTTCTTGGAGCATCAGTGCCTCTCTGGGTCCCTCCAGGTCTAAGGAAGGCGGTGGCTGTTCCTTCTTGCTGTTCCCTGGTGCTCGTCATTCCTGGGTGATCCCCTCATCTCCTCAACTGCTCTTGGGGCTGCCCACTCCAGGGGGTACTTGCTTTCTGCCAAGATCCTCTCTGTTCAGCTCTCAGGCAGGAGGGAAGTGGGGGGAACAGAGAGGCTGAGTGCATGCTCAGGGTCATCCAGCTAGTCAGGGGAAGACCAGAGTTTGAGTTTAGGCCTGGATATCACCAAAGGGGACTAGAGTTGGCATTTTCCTGACCTCCCCCTCCCCCATCACCTGAACAGTCCCCTCTGTTGACATCAATTGATGCCTTCGATTGCAGAACCATCTACCGTGATAAGGGCTCAGCCAGAAGTGACGTCTAAGGGTTCGTTGTGCCTCCGGAGATGGCAAAGAAGAAAAATCACATGCCCAGTTTTCACTTGTCACAAGGCCAAGACACCTCTCTGTCTGTGAGAAATGGCCAGGCAACCCTGCTCACATTTAATTAAGCAAACAGTTCAACTTTCAACAGCATGTGCTCCACAGGAGGCTTGGCACGAGCCCTGGAGATGGCCAACAGCATCTTTACCGAGTGCCTTCTCCTCACCTCAGAGTGGACATCATTAGCTGTACTTGGCACAGGAGCCTCAGCTCAGGGAGGCACGTGGTTAACCCGGTCACACAGCTGCGAGTGCCCCAGCTCACAGTGGACACATGTGGTTACATCTAAGCTTGAAATTCTTTCACCTGATGCCCACCGTACCCCAACGCCCCTAAAAAGGCCAGGCTGAAGATGATCCAACTAAATAGACCAGAACTTGGCCATTAAAAAAAAATTTCCCGCAAGATCATTTTTTTCTGTGGGGTGCCAACAGTAGTTTGGGGTGGAAGGAGCTTGAGGATCAAGGGCTACCTGGGTTTGACCTGTATCCTGATTTCCTCCAAATAATAGATCCTCCCCTTGGCAAGTGAGGGAGCCCCAGCCTCCTTGCGTCAGCCGTCTGCCTGATGACGACACCAACGTCCACCCGACATCCAGGGTTGCTTTCTCTGACAGCTGAAATCGGAATGTCGGGTTTTGTGCCTAGAAGTTCAATCTTGAACTTCACCTTGATGGATAGGGCTCATGAATGGGGGTCACCTCGATCACCTCCGACTCCCTGCTACTTGGGAGAGGGAGGCTCGTTGCCGCTCTGCCTCCTTCCTCA